GACGTCATTCTGCGACGGGCTTAAACGCACAAAAGGACAGCCGCATTACTATTACATAGACGCTTCATTAATAATAAATAAATATATTATACACAATGTGTATTGAATACGACCGACCGCTATATGGCGGTGGCGGTTCATAATATAGTGTATCGACCGCGTAATGGGTGTGATTCATTGCCGAGATATTATTACATTTTAATATTTCGCTCACGAACCTTTAAATATATATTATAGAAGACGACGGGACGGAGATAGCAGCAAACGATCCTGGCGCTTAAAGAGCTTCTCGTTTTATAATTTTATGGAAATGTAAGCCCCGAACTCTCTGTTGGCGTTAAAAAAAATCGAGTGGCGTATATTATTATATAATACATACGACTATTTTTTAAACGTTCTTATATTATTACGTATTTGAGTTTTTTTTTATCTCCTGCTAAACGAATCTAGGTATTTGGTGTTTGTTGAGAAAAAGGTATAGCGGGTACCTATAAAAACGCGATGCAAAAAATGTTTTATTATATTATATTGGCAATGCGAAACGATATCACACACATGAATACCACCGCCGCCTTCGCTAATAACATAAACCATTAGCAATACGATTTATTGCTCTCAGAAAATATTTTCTCGGGTCGGGCGCATAATAATATGAATTTATCTTTATAAATATAAGGCAACGTCGAAATGCGATTTCTATTGCAAAATAAATTACGTATGATATAGTAGCCATAGAGGTACATGCTAGTTTAGAATCGATGCATTTCGAATGAAGTCATCTTGACGTCAGTACCCGAAGTTAGATAAACTGAATAATTATTCGCGTCGATGTTGTTATTGTTGGTTCTAGCGCAATTAAACGGATTGTAAGACAAGGAAAAATAAAAACTGAGACAGAGTAATGTTGTTTAGGAAGAACCGCGAAATTAAGTATGAAATGATTCGAAACAATGGGACATGCACAAAGAAAAGAAATAAAAATATAAGAGAAAAGATTTTCGAAGAGAGTCATTCCTCGAAATTAAAACCATTTTGAAGACTTAGTCAGCTATAATCGATTTATTTTTCTAAAAATTATGGTAGTTTTCTGTGAAGGACATTATAAAGTGTTGCACTGAACGGTTGAATTATTCATGGATTATTGTAAATATTACTACGTCGCATATATTCCAGCGGTAAATCGAATTTATATACTGTTAAACTTCAACAGTTATAACTTATACTACTATGTTTTATTTAAAAACTAAAACACAATGATAATAAACAGATTAAGCAAATCTACGAGTTAAAAATACTTTATCTACAACAACATCATAATTCCTTTATGCTTATTATGAAATATATGCATATATTATAAGTAATGTGTCGTAAAACCATTCGGTCGCTTACCGAATGACCGCTAAATTTACATATTAGTTATAGAGCCGGGCTTCTCTATGTGAATTAGTAGTTAAACTGTTAAATGCTTTCCGGGTAGAGGAGCTTATATAAATAATATTGTGACGCGTATAGTACTAATTGACAAAACAGACAAGTAATCGACTATTAATAGGTTTTCAATGTAACATTTTTATCATCCATATACTATAGACTATAATTATTTGAAAAGTTTTGCACGCAGAACGGCTCATTAATTATAACAAATTGTTTATAAGTCGACTTACTTACTGAATAGTCGACGAGTTCGGCTTATTAAGCCGTCAACTGTTTTTTGCTATTATTAGTCAAGTAATTTTAGTTTTTGACTAAATTATGCAACTAAATTTTGTTATTTAGCTACTTAGCAATCATTAGCCGTTAGTTATTAATCATTAGTAGTTCAACCATTAATTAATTAATTATTCGACTTCAGATTAAAACAATGAAACTAGATTTGCCACTCAATGCTAATAACTAATTGGGTCGAACATTACTAGTGTAATGTAAAGTGTATTGTGATATTATATTAACCGTCAACCGTAATAAAGTGGTGTTTATAAAGTATTTCATCATACAATTATCGTGACATTAACAAAAGGCAATATTGGATTGTTAAGTGTTACCCACTATGTCAATCTCAAAATCCTTGCCAATTTGCCGGAACCAAAATAATTATACAACTCACATATTGTATACACAACATGAAAACTTTTGTGGAAATGTACTTGAACCAATGATCGGCAGGGACTCTACAATACACGTATATATGTATTGTTTTCTCTTAAACGCGTTTACACTTCGACAGTTATTAGGGTTTTGGTTATTGTGTAGTTTCGATGTCTACCTACTAAGCTATCGAGTGTTTTGAATGTGAACAACGCTACTTCCTAGAAATTGATTCTACACGGTAGGTATGAGAAAATCAACTGAAAATGCATTTTAAACCGCAGTTGATAGCGTGAACACACCAGTTACCAGTAGTATACCACAGGTGCACCGTAATTGCTTCGTCGGCATAAATATCAACCACTGTGCATGTATAGATATATTATATAAATGTACATGTGTCGCATTGGGGGGTTCGTTGGCCAGGAGGGCTGTACTACATGGCGGTGGTCTTCGTCGGATAGTATAATACATATTAAATGCGGCAATAGGTTTGTTAGAGGGGTGAGAGGTTATTGCGTTGCGGAAACGGTTGTTCGACTGGAATAATTATTGTGAATGCGAAATTTCCTTGTTAATTTTTTGGAAATTGCGAATTTGTCAAAAAGAGCATTGACAAAAAAAAAACAGAAAATTCCATCGGCATTGTTGTTGTACCGGATAATCGTTGGAAACAAATGAGCGGGACGATATAATAAAAACGTTTCGGGTTCTCAGGATAGACGGCCAAATTCGTTTTACGACCTGTCTCCGAAGAGTCGTTTGTGAGAAATTTCCCAAGATATAATATAAATATTATTTAAATTTCGACCGACGTGGAAAGACCGTTGCTCGTCTAAGGTTTCTTTTAGGCGTTTCTTCAACACACGCGCGCGGCTTGCGTATGTATTGGCAAACCGACCGCAGGTAGACTTCCTTATTTTTTCCATCTTCATACATTATATTCGACCGTCGGCGGTAACCGTGGTAATAAGATTTTATCCGTCCGCGATTACCGGTTAGTTTAGGGAATCTCACAGTTTTTATGTTCGTCTAACCGATTAGATTTTTTTTTGCTCTGCCTTATTCGGTTTGTCAGTGATTTTTTTACCCTTGTAGCCTGTTGGAAACGTTACCGTTATTGGATGTTTTATTAAGTTAATGTATAACGAAATGTATAATGAAATAACTACCTACTTGTGTGCGATGAAATAATAATAAGTTTTGATGATTAAATTTCAACAAATAAATACAAATAAGTTCTTGCATATAACTTTAAAATTATATTATATATAGCTAAGAAGTTGTTATATAATAGAAAAATACTGTAAACATAATTTTCGAAAACAATAAATTAATATACATATATTCCTATCTATCGACGCGTCTTACGAAAAGTAGCACTGTTTAAGTTCTTACGAAAACTAACACCGTTTTGAAGTAAAAAAATATTAGTAAATTAAGGCCCTCGTTATCTGTAGTCATTGGGTTTCTGTCTAGGAGCCCAGGGCCTAACCAGAGCTCACAGATAATGCAAAAGCAAAGACTACATTACACATATACCATGCCCACTACTATGAATTTTGGAGTGGAAAAAGTTGTATCATACTTTCACACCACATTTCCCTAAGCTTCTTTACTATACGGATTATAATTCACACATTGTTTTATCATGTAATGTTATTAATAAGTAATATACAATATATTATACATACATATTCATAAGTGTATGCACAGCCAAATGAATCGTAATAGCTATTTCATTAAATAACGAATGCAATTTTGAAACATAGGATACACTTAAATAGAATATTTAAGACTAAAAAATGTACCTACCGTTTCCTCGATTTTACCAAGCATTCGACCGTCGATTGTTGTAAAGTTATAAACATCAGCTGTCTACTTGTGGTCGAAAATAATTTTATAATTATATGGTTACTAAAATATTTATGATCCTTTATGTTGTTTGTTCTCGGCGTGTTTAATTTTTAATTTGTTCAGATTATCTAACGAAAATCTAGTTTGAAAACAATAGACGTTCGTTAAGTGCTCAGAACGCCATATGTTAATAAATTTATTTTCAGGCGTTGAGTTTCCATCCATTTCTCCTACAATTAATCAAATACTATAGAGGCATAGAAGAGCAGACCGGATACGAACAACTTGCTTTTTAACATCCCGTTTTAATAATTAAATGAACTTGTATTTGTGTTTTGTCTGAAATAAAATTATTTAAATAACGTGTTATCTAGATTCTAGATGACTAATTAAAAACGTTTTGTTCGAAAAATGCACAACTACTTGAATTGATAATTTAAGAATTAATTCAATTTTAGCAATCACAATTTATCATACTACAATATACTGAAAACACAGTAGTCAAATAATAAAAAAATACGCCATTGTTGAATAAGTCGCACCTTTTTTTCAATAATAAAAATAGTCAATATGCACATTATTAAAGTAGTTGAACCTGGCTAGACAATTTTAAACATTATAATCAAGACACTAATCTAGATAATTTGATGAAGTAAATCTGCTTACTCATATTTTATTTTATTATTCGTGAAAGAATTAGTACAACGTATTGTATCATTATTTTTTATTTTATTTAAATTAACGCCAATTATTAACTACATTATGGCGTATTGCAATAAACAATTAAATTAGCAATAAAGTATTAAGTTATAACTTGATTATACATTCAAAAATATATATTGTGTGATAGGTAATTGTTTTAGTGACAAAAATAGATTTTTAATAATTAAGGGAAACGGAAAGTGCCAAATTTTATACCAAAAATCAGCCTTCACATAAAAAAAAAAAAATTTTAATCCGTTCAATAGATACGCCAGAAAATCACGAAAGTCATTTTTTATCAAATTATCGTCATAAATCAGATTAAAATAACTCTAAAAGTTTTATTACAAGAAAAACTTAATATTTTCCCACCTTAAAATTAGTCGGCATATTAAAAATGGCTATTAGATCAATATTTTTCAAATGTTGCCTATCCTTCCCCCCTTAATAAATAGCGCTTTCCATATCCCTTCATTGTATAACATTAATAATATAATTAGCAATATATATTATTATTTTCATTGTGACAACTTACTGTCTACTAACTAAGTTTAGTTTGATTATGTCCAATACGAATTTAAAAACCCAGTATTCAACATGACCGACACAATTGAATAAGTCATTCGTAAAACCTGTATAACAAATACAATATGACAAATTAGTAAATTGGAATTATTCCGATATCATGACAAAATACCTTTTTAAGATCATACACTTATAATTCAATGTTTATTTATTTTATGATCATTAAGTTAGTTAATAATGAAGTATAAAGTTCTCATCATTATGAGAGAATTTTTGTTGTTATAAGCAAGTGCACACCTTCTTATTAAACTATGCGAAGTTCATTGGAATTTTTTACATTGTATACTAGTAATTTATTATACATAGATTAGACTTTTAAATTTATTTAAAAATGGTTTTCTATTATTGTATAGCTTACCCTTAAAGTGAATCCCATGTTGATAGCTATCGTTGGTGTTACTTTAATTTTCAGTTCATTTGCGTTGTTTATTTGCATCGCCATTAGCACATTTTTTTTAAAGGGTATATCCGCAGCCGTCCAGTCACAACTGTATAATCCAAAATTTACTCTACTTTTCTACAAAAAAAAAATCGACAAAATGTCAATTTTAAAAATAATGTCTCTAAAAATATTTGTCTTACTTTATCGTTTATTAAGTCAATAAAGAATGTATAAGATAATAATCGCAAAAGAAATACAACGAAAACTTGGAAGTTCATAAGAAATTCAACAATTTTAAATGAACCAGATGTTAGTTGCTGAAACAAAACATATTGTATATTATGTATATTTACTATGTAGTCCGTAGAAAGTATTTAAATTATAATTAAACGTATTAGGTGTACCGAAGCAATACAATAAGCCGATGTCACAAGTGAACAAGAATCTGTTGCAACTTGAACTAATACCACAGTATGGACTATCGAACAGAATTCTCCCATATATCTAAAATTATACAGTTATTTTTATAGGATAATCAGCCTTTTTTGTTATTATAATTAAACTTACTATTTAAACAACACCAAAATATACTATAAGAAATAGTAGTAAGTAGATTATGATTTACTAAATAGTTTATAGAAACGTATTTGACGGGTAAGACCCTGATTTTTTTTTATATGATTTTATTTCTTTATATACCTACCAAAAGATCATTATGATTTGGTGAGTTGGGATCTACTAAATCATACAGTCGGTTAATGATTAAACAACTTATACGTTTAAGACCCGGAGAGGTAAGTAATACTTTCAATTTCATAATTGCTTAACCAGAGAAAGAAATAACTAATGGTTGAGTGTAAAAAATTTAATTTGCCGATACAATACTGTTTGATGACCTTATCCTATTCAGTCACGTCTAGACATCTTTCCCATATTGATGACTAATATAAATAAATTATTCACAATTAAATGTGTTAGGAAATTGCCAAACACAAATACTTAGCGCCTATACCTATCAACCAAATTGTATAAGTCTATATATACTTATACAATTACTTATAGCCACATATTTGACATCAATTAAAACGGGGATATTTAAAATCACTACTAACAATAAAGTGACGTCTAGGTCAATGCATATACACAGACAAAAGTCAAACATAGTTGTACGTATAATTATGATATAGTGTTAGTTTTAAACCATTGCAGTGCCTTTTAATTAAAGTAAAGCTGAAAGTAATAATGTTTTAGCTAAATATAATCATTTTTTTTTTTATTATCTGAAAATATATTTACAATCTATATAGTGAGCACATTAAGCAAATTTGATAAAAGATATTATATACATGACAATGAAAAGTTAACAGTTATGGGAAGACACTCAGCAGCGTCACCCGGCTAGGAAGTAGAAAAAAAATTATTTTTCATTATATTATTATTTATTGTGGTTATTGTAGTAGATCTCTAGGCCATTTTCTCTTTAATCTTCTGGGAGCATTATCGGGAAGGGAGGCCGAGGATAGTTGTTTAATTAGGGGGTTAAAATGAATAATTAGATTTGAATGGAAATTTGAGTAGAGCGAATTTGCTAGTTGGTCGAGTTTGGTATGTTTAATTCTTTATGTAAGTTTTTATTTGTGACATACCAAGGGGCAGAGGTTATTAGGCGCAAGCAGATCGACTGGAACGCCTGGATAGTTTTGGTGTTTGAAGGTTTGGCTGTGCTCCATAGCTGTATGCCGTAAGACCAGACTGGACGGATTAAAGATTTGTAAATGATTAGTTTATTGAAGAGAGAGAGCTGAGATTTCAGTAGAGGTCTGAGGAGATGGAATCGGGAGTTTAATGTTTTACGTTTTAGTTTTAAATGTGGGCCCCAAGTGAGTTTTTTGTCCAACAAAAATACAATTTTATAAACTTAAAACTAAAAATGAGTAAATAAGAAATACTTGCAAATGCACATTCTGACTATCCGAAATGATTAGCATTAAATCTTCATACACTTGTGCTTTCTCTTCTGCAACAGCAGAATAATTAATACAATTTTATCATTATCATCATTAATTTGAACAATTTGATAAATAAATTAAATACAAATGACTATATAGCTTTTTATGCCTTACTTCTTCCGTTTCCGTTAACTTTTAACATGGTAAATGCTGATGTGACTACATCGAATTGGACAGCTATGACCCAACAAATAGTACAAAAAAACAAGTCAAACATGAAAATGATCCACGAACACCAATATCCAAACAAAACTTCATTTATGTAAATTACATAAAAATATGTATGGTGCATTTGTGCAGAAATTGGGTAATATAAGCCATAGGGACTAGAGCGGAATTTATTGATGGTATTTATTTTCGAGTTTACGGTATTATGTAGTAAAGGCAATAACGACCACCCTATTATTGCTGCGCATATGGTATAAAAAATCAAATAGGACGTTATCTTTACTTTGCGTTTGTTTTTAACAAGTTTGTTAAAATTACACCGATTCCTTAAAAAACTAACGTATGTAACATCAAAGATTTTTACAATTCGATTGGTGTTAAGAAGTATTGTAACTAATTTTACAACCACAGTTAAATGGTTAACGTAAACAAATACGGTTTGATTAAATCGTTGACCTTCGAAATTATCGAGTGCGATTCTATAAAACAAACCCAAAAGACTAGAAATAACTACGAAGCACGTCCAAATCATCATCGTTAAATTGATTAATAAAACTATTGATCTCTTCGGATCAAGTAATTTAAAGAAACCTAAACAATTCAGTAAGCTTAAATCAACCATCGTCTGTTTCCCATTCAGTAAATCGCCAACGTTCATGTTTGTTGCTCTTCCAGTCACCTGAAATTTCAGCAGTTCATTAAATTAACAATACAGAGAGGGAAACACCTTTATTTAAAAAAAAATCAAGCCAACTACCTAATGGATGGGTTGCTTTATGGACTATGACACAGTATACTTATCAGTACTAGTAAATATATAGAATGATTGTAATATAATGACACTAATAAATGAATAATTAAACATTATAAATACAAAAGGAATAATGTGTTTTATAAAAAAACAATAGGGGAAAAACACACGTAAGAAAATAATACAGTAAACTAAATAAATCACACTAATTTGTATAGATATGCTAACCTATAGGTACAAGTGCATGAACTGTCAAACTATATATTTACCTGTGTGATTACTTGATTCAATAAAATTTCGATTACTGCTCAGGTACGAAAATGGTTTTTGTGTCTTATGAAAATGAGTGTGTTTTTTAGATCTGTGTCGCTGTGACTGTTAAAAAAATATTAATATTTTGCGACAATGTGTCAAAAACTTTGTTAATTATCTTGCTGTGTGTTTAGTACCAAAAGTTATAATTATTATAAACTATTTATGACATGTTATTCAAGTAAACACTATTAGGTATTGGATATTTTTAGTTAGTCTTGTATTCAGAAATAAAATATTTACATAGCAAATAACGGTTTTTAATAATTAATTACACTTTCTATTAGTTTTTTAACAAATAAAACATTAATTTTAATTATAGTTAATATATGTAGTATGTACATATACATCTATATATTTAGAGAGAGAGTTGGACAGAAATGTTTACATAAGTATGAAATTCTCTTCAGCGTGTATAACCTTCAAAAAACTTAAGCAACACTTGTAGTTATTTGTAATATAAAAATAATAAAATATTTAAAAGTTGGGTTTTCATGGTTAAGGTTTTTTTTAAATATTTCATTATTTTATTTTTATAGTGTATTAACTTCATGTCCCAATTTATCAAAAAAAACTTAATTGCTCAATAAATTTGTGGTGCGGCGTACCAGTAATGTTTAACTATCGAACAATGCAAACAAATAAAATACAATTGAATACAATTTAAATTTAAATACATGTGACATTGCTCATTAAAGTTTATAAGATTTACCACGTAGGAAGGTTAAAAAACTGAGATCCTGTTACTATTGACGATAACAATTATTTCATATGTACATTAAATAGGTACCTAATAAAATTCTAATTTCTTTATTAGTTACTTTTGTATTAAGACAAAACTCATACGACACAATTTTTTTTTAAAACAACATTATTATTGTGATACTTAAAATTCATGTAAAGCTGTTATTTAATAGATTTCGACCCTCATCACGGAACGATATTAGTAGATACAAAATATCGTACGCCATTTTGATGAAAGTTTATTTTTTAAGGGTACAAGCCAATTGGAATCCAAGCAATTTTAAAACTTAGGTTTTAGGGGTGATCAGTTTTGAACTTTTTGCCGAACCGAACACGCGGAGCGTGTGAAATATGTTTTCTACGTGTTCGTCCCTTTTTCACAAAACGGAAAACACAATTTGAAGTTTTATTAGGGTTGGGATACCGTATAAGTCTAAATAAATAAATCTCTGTACCCATATTTTCGTTCAGTATCTCCCATTTAAAATTCAACAAAATTCTCAAAATGTATTTTATATAAAATTTTAAATAGAATGTTACTATATTTTTTCCTATTTTCATTATCTCAAGCTTCTTTGATGTAAATTGGGTTTTCACTTTTTCCGTAACAAAACGTTATATTTATTTTTGAATTTAAAATCTTCATCGACTGGAATAATTCCAAATCGAAAATTATTTTTTTATTATTGTGCTGTTTTGTTATTTATTAATAATGGTTTTGATGTCTTTCAGGTCCACTCTATTTAGGATTAAGCGGGAGTATTGATATAAAACTTTTATGTACCTAATTAGGTACCCAAAAAATTACTCTTATATAAATTATGTATTATGTTACTAAACGCATTTTACCCAAAAATGGCAATAACACGCGTGTGCGCTTAATCATGGATTGATTCTTGTGGCTTGTCACATAAACTGTCTAAGAAGCTATATTTTTGTCATAAACAGTAAACGGGGTATGTGAATTATAAATCGATGGTATGACATGCTTAAAAAGACTTACCTCATATGCAGAAAATGCGACGGAAGCGGGTTCATCATTAATTTGTCGTTTGTTCGCATTACGCATAAATAATAAACCGAAATTTCATGGGGTGTCTCACACCCTACTGGTAAAAAAAAAATAGGGTGGAAGAACGCTCTGCGCTGTTAAATAACGAATATAATAATTCAGCATTATGCGGCGGCGGTAATGATGTGATGAACATTTTATATTTCAATGTCACCGACCTCATACCGAGTAGTGGGACAATGGTGTTAAAATCGAACAGCCGTTAAAAACTCGAATTTAAAGGGTGTCCAGCTAGTTGGTGTTGTTTAGCATTGTTATACTATGGATTGTGTACTTTGAACGTGACAAAATAACATAGTCTTGTCAATTTACCAAAATCACGGTTTGCACAAGCAGTCACTACACTGGCTGTTTTAAATTTCAATAAAAAGCAACGTAATACTGTAAACAAGTGATAATATTTTATATACGATATACTGATATACGGTTAAAGCATCAAGCTACCCAA